GCCCTTTTTAAATAATAAAATTTCTGAGTATCGCTTAAACTATGATTTGAATAAATAACCGCTTCTACAGGATTCTTAAATTCTAACCAATGCTCAAAGTCCTTGTAAAAAGTTGGTATTTCTATTAGTGGTAATTGTATATCTCTATTAGTCTCCTTATTTTGCCTGACTGAATCTTTACTCCTTCCCTGATCTAACAACTGCTGCAAACCAGCCATTATCTCGCAATATTTGTCCATAAAATTTGATCTCTCCGAGGTATCAGACTCTGATAATACTAAAGTTTCTATTTGACATTGAATATCCTCAAATTTTTCCCAAAAACCCTCCATTAACTTTGACCTAATAAAAAATCTGACCCTGTTGATCATCGGTATAATCATGTACAAAAGTTTCTATCCACGTTAGCTGACCTTTAACGATTTTACGCGTGTTCTTTAATTCTTTAAATTGAGCGAACTCTTAAGGAGTAAGTTCAGCCTCATTTTGTTTAGTAATTTCACCTAGAATACCTAACTTGTACCTAAGACAATAATTGGCCAAATGAACTCTTACTTTTACTTAACTTTGTTAATCTGCTATATGAAATATTGGATATAGAACTACCAAAATTGGATTACCGATAAATTTTTTCCTGGTGCGTGTATTAGGATCCGCTTTGAAATCCTTATCTTCTTGTCACCGTACCAACTGAAAATCTCCTGTCTAGTGTAAGCCCAAAAATTAAGTTTCTCTTCCTACTGCCACCAAAATCATTATCCGGCTCGAAGGACCATTATAACGGACTGAAGCCTTCCTTTACAGAATGCTGGTTCGCAAGAAAATCTTAATTTTTTATACCAAAAAATTACAATAGACAGCCTTTTAAAATATATTCAGTGACAAGATACTTTGACAATAACATCCTTAATTTTACATAAATAGTCAGTGTCGGTATCGGAATATTAAGACTAGCATACAACAATCAATCTGAACAGTGGATAAAGGCTCGGATTTAACAGAAAACAAAACTGGTGCATTAACTCGCAACATAAAAGTTACAAGCGTTTTTAAATTGGATGGCTTATTTTTAGAGACATGCCTGTAATCGCAACGAGCGGTTGGGTTGGCAGTAGTTAGCCACCTGGCATAGGACAGTTCACCTGGATTTTGAGCGAAGTCTATTGAACAGTAGCCAGTAGAAGATATTGCTTGACTCATTTCAAGAAAATATTTTTGGTTGGTACTAAGATCAGATTTATAAAAGTGTGAATGAAATTCAAACGTAATCTTATTTAGTAAGTCACTTTGAAATTTCTCACAGTTTTACAACTGCTTTTCAATTTGTCCTGAAAACCCCCGAGGTCCTGTAGTTTTCCCATCTAAATATTGCAGTAAGTGTCGAAGAAGGGTTCGTTCCTATGTAGCTGACATACGAACCCATTGTAACGGTGTTTCCAGTTTCACTTTTACCAACCTAATTGCTCTGCTTTTTGCACCTGTATTAACTATCACAACCAACAATTCGTGAATAATTTATTTGATGTTTATTTAAGGAAAACTGGATTTCATATTTATTTGATGCTGATATAGTGACTGACGTGACAAAAATGTTTTTCTACTACCGTTCTTAAATTATACTACTATTTTGCTATACTATTATTTTGCATGCTACAGAGTTCGTAAAACTTTACTTCACGCACTAGTGCGTAAAGAGTTTTTATTTACGTAGTAAGTGCATAAATAAAATTGTCAAATTTGAGGGTATTGACCACAGAGCAACCAATTTTAGTATTGACAGTTCTTATAAAAAATAATAATGAGTATATTAAATATTTAATATAATTTTTTTCAATTTAATCATATATTTTTATAGTTATTTCAATCCAGTTTAAATATTATATTAATAAAAATTATTGTGAAATCTTATTACCTGTTGACGAAAATTATATAAGTTCCTAACGATCCAGCTAAGTTGGCTATGGATGACTGACACTTCTTTATTTAATTTGACATTTTAACTTTAAAAATCAAGAACAATATCAATATTCAAAAATATTATAAATTAGTTGCTTTATTTTTTTTGTTTAATCATACATCAAAACTTATTTGAATTTAGCAAATACCTATTAGTGAATATAATATTAAATTAAATAATAATAATAGTTACAAAAATTGTAATTAAATATTTCTAACAATCTTGCTAAGTTTGCTGTGATTGACTGACATTTAACTACTTTTTCTACGCCTATGGAATAATATGTCAATTATTAACGCTTTTTCTTTAAATAATAGTAGTCATTATTTTTATCTGTTGGCTTATGAATCATAAGCCAACGGTATTTGACCAATCACAGGCCACGAATTTTCATAAGCCAACAGTTTTATTAGTTGCCCACGACAACGGAAAATGCACCACAGTATTATTCCTGTACAACACTGCTTCTCAGTTGTCATTTGTAATTTTGTCACGCTTGACCAGCGCTTGACACTTCTGTCTCCGAAAGCTGAAAAAGTGTAAAAGTTTGACTCAAAAACCTATAAATTGTCTAATCAAAACACAAATGGATAAAATGGACGATATTAACAGCGACGAAGAAAATTATACCCCACCGGATATCGTAGAAGCAGCGAAAATAACATCGGTAGACTTGCTACCTAAAAAATCGCGAAATCTTTACGAAAAAGCGTACCTATAAAGCTTTTATGGATTGGCGAGACCGCAAAAAAACTACCTTGTTTTCCGAAAACGTGTTACTAGCCTACTTTAGAGAGCTAGCAGAAAAATACAAATCTTCGTCCCTCTGGACTCAATATTCGATGTTGCGAACGACACTAGAGGTACGACAAAACATAAATATAGCAACTTACGGAAAGTTAAAAACTTTTCTTAAACGCAAATCTGATGGCTATAAGGCGAAAAAGTCCAAAACATTTACTCCAGATGAAATAAATATGTTCATTGAAAATGCAGATGATAAAAAATATCTTGCAACAAAGGTAGGAATTAATAAATAAACATAATTATAACAATTTTAGAGACTGTCTATTTGTCCGAGCGCTCGGATATGAATAATAGATTGCGCTAAATATCCGGGCATTGAGTCATCATTCGTTGTTCTTAATCCTGTAATACAAGTACACGGGTATCGTGTGGCGTGGTCCAGTGGACTGGGCATCGAGCTGTAGATCGATAGGTCATAGGTTCAATTCCGGGCCTTGGCAGTTTTTTTTTTATTTTATTTTTTCTTTTTATGTTCTTTTAAGTATGTATATTTTTTGTTCGAGAATATTGTTCCACAGGTCAGTTCAAGTTCCACCCAAAAAAGTTGGTTTCGTTTAAAAAAAAAAAGATTAAAAATTCTACCAATGGTAAAATTTATGTTGGAGTATATTGCTCCACCGGTTAGTTTTGAAATTTAAAGTTCTGTCTGATTTTACTAAAGAAAAATAATAAAATAAAAACGGTTGAAAGTAGATATTTCAATTATTTTTTACGCCCGGATATATAGCTCAATCTATTATTTGTCCGAGCGCCCGGACGAATAGACAGTCCCATAATTTTAAACATTGAAGTTGTTAATCCATTTTACTAATTTTGCCATTGATTTTTGTTTCAGGTAGCATTAATTCTTGGTGTAATGGGTGCCTGTCGTTGTCACGAATTAAGAAATATGAATATTGAGCATATTGAAGTTTTTAATACATCCATGCTAATTACTGTGCCCAACACAAAAACAAAAGTCGTTAGAAAGTTCACCGTAACAGGAAAATTTTGTGAAATGGTTAAAAAATATATTGATTTGCGTCCCCCCACAGTTGCCTCGCCGTCTCTCTTTTTGAATTATCAAAATGGGAAATGCTCTGTCCAAAATATAGGAATTAACAAATTCTCGGCAATGGGAAAACAAATTGCCAATTATTTAAATCTGCCCAACCCCGAAATGTATACAGGACACAGTTTCAGGAGATCGTCTGCCACAATACTAGTAGATGCAGGAGCCAACATGACTGCATTAAAAAGACATGGGGGTGGAAGTCCGCAACGGTGGCGGAGGGATACATCAACGACTCCTTAAATAATAAAATGACAACTGCCCAAAAAATACTTCACTCAATACAAAGCAAATCCACTATTACCACCACCGAGACTATAACCAAGGTCAATGAAAATCAAAAAATGGATGTGGCCACCGCATCACTTACTATTCAAAACTGCCAGAATTTCACAATAAATATTCACCAACATAATCCGTTAATTGATAAATAATCATTTTATTATCCATGTTATTAAAAGTTAATATGAATTAATGTAAAATGGTTTATTTGAGTAAATTTAATTTAATCTGCATTTTAATTATTTCATAGGCGTAGAAAAAGTATAGTATTATACTATTACACACTTCTTGCATAAATAACTATTATTAATATACCGCAAATGGGTTGCCTAAGAAAGTACGCTCACGGTAATTTTCAGAGATTCACAGGCTTGGCTTGTTTTTTAAAAGCTTGGCTTGAGCTTGGCTTGAAATCAAGCCAAGCTTTTAAAAATACCAAGCCAAGCTTAACATCTTTTTTTCAAGCCAAGCCAAGCTTTTAAAAAAAAAAGCTTGAACTACCAAGCTTTTTCAAGCCAAGCTTTCAAGCTTTTAATGAAATTATTTACATTAACTGTTTACAATAATCTACAAAATTTATTTAAAATAACTACTAAATAATCCATATAATATTTTATAAGTAAATCAGAGAAAACAGACATATAACCATTCATTGATAAAATATAATATTCACGCCAAGATTAAGTTGACAATCATAACACTCTATTTGTAGGTCCGCGGTGATAAGACGATAGGTAAGAATAGAGATGCACGAGTTTGATTTGATTTTAAGAGTTTGACTTGAATTCAAATCAAACTCAAATCAAACCTAGCAGTGCTTTGAATCAAATCAAATCAAACTATAAAATATTAAAGTTTGAAATATCAAACCTTTTGATCAAACTAGTTTGAAAGTTTGAATAATTAAATCGCTTTATTAGGCGTCCAAAAATTTAAAGACCTTAAACATCTAACATATTCAATATTTAGTATATTCCTTCGTTTGGTAATTGTTAGAGAAGTCCTTGACAAAATCCTCTCTATTGATGCCGATGGAGCAGATATGATTAAGAAATTTCTAGCCATTTTAGATATTGGAAATACAGCCTCGTGCCTCTTCCACCAATTCAATACATTTCCTGAACTATTAGCCCTGCCTTCAGAAAAATATTTTGTAATTTCATATTTCCAGGAATTTTCATCGACTAGGTCTGGGATTTTACTACAAGATATTTGAAAGAAAGCTATTACATCTATATCAAAATTTTCGGAATCTTTACATTGGCTTCGGAAGGCTGATTTTGTTAATAATTCGTTTTGTTGAATAACCACATCATCGGCTTCAGAATCATATTCATTTTCATTATGGATAAATTCTGAACCGCCGGATTGAAATGGTTCAGCCTCTGCGGCTGTGTTTTGTGCCTCCGGCACTTGGCAAAATATAAATCTAAAACAAATAATCTTACAACGACGCATCGTCAGCCTGGATACTGTATCCCTACTATGTCTCATTGTGTTGCCTTGAAAAATTTAAAAAGCGTTACGGCCAGTGCCGGTAGGTACGTTTTTCGTATTTCAAACTATTTCAAACAGTTTGAAAAAGTTTTATTTCAAATCAAGCTCCCGAATTGATTTTCAAATCAAATCAAATTCTTCTATAAAAAAAAATTGATTTTTCAAGTCAAATCAAACTTGACTTGTCAAATCAAACTAGTTTGATTTGATGCATCTCTAGGTAAGTAAGAGAGGGAATAAAGAGAAGGAATTTACGCAGTTACAACTTTATTTTATCAACGAATAAATGTGCAAGCGAGGTGTGCATATAATTAACAACGTAACGGTGTAAGCCCTATTGCCACTTACAACTTACGATACTAGGTTTTGGAATTTATTGAAAATTATTACATTTAATTTTGTGAAATTACATCTAATTTAGTTAAATTTGATATAACTAATGATTCAAAATTTTTTGGGTTCAGTTGCAATAAAATTCGTTACAGAGCTAGAACTATTTCGATTTGGATTATATTTTGTGGAAAAGCTTTTTTATAAGAATCCTTATGTTTTCTTTGTAAATGTCTTTTTAAAGTCGAAATTGCCCCATTTTTCATTTAAAGTATTGTTAATTTTCTTGTACACAAAGTGCATACTACTGTTTTGCTCTGTCCGTTTCTAATTTTACAAAAATTAGAGACCTTTATGTTTTTAATTGTTTTTTGGGACTTAATTCGAATATGTTCTTTGCGAGAAGTGCTGGAAGACAATCCTTCCGCTTTTTCTACCACATATTCAGATCCGCTGTCTTTAAAGGGTTTTTCGAATTCCTCGATATCTGATACATGGCGATCATATTTGAAAGTACTTGCTTCGAAAGGCTAGCAGGCTAGCATTAAAACAAAGGGCGACGAGAGAACGGTTAGTAGACTTAACACGTGATCGCCAAGGGAGGGGGGAAAGCTTGAAAGCTTGATAAAGCTTGAAAAAGCTTGGTAAACAAGCCAAGCCTGGACTTTTAAAAATCAAGCCAAGCCAAGCTTTTTCTTTTAAAAAAGCTTGATTTTCAAGCCAAGCCAAGCTTTTCGTTTTCAAGCCAAGCTACTTGGCTTGGTGAATCACTGATCATTTTTTTACTTTCCTTTCTGATTACAGATAAGGAAAGTATAGAAATCATGATAAAAGTTGCTTGTAATGTTATTCTCTATAATTTTGTTCCTGTACATGATTTCCCTAAAATGAACCTAATTCGAGATATTTGAGGAAAAGTGAAAATTAGAAATTTTGAAGATAACTAAAAACGGATGAAGAGAAAAACAAAAATATCCTGCAGTGAGCTGATTAAAGTTTGGACATAGTCAAAGCATCTGGGGAATACTTTACAGGGTGTCGTTTTTTTTACTTTAACCCTTAACTGGTGACGTGGTGCCACTGGCGACCCCAGAGAATATCCGTGATCGGATTACTCCTAGACGCATGCGCGAATCTAGACCGTCGCTTCAGTACCTTCAAGTTAATCAATTGTGAGTGTGATGCTTACAAATTCACGTCGGTTGTCTGCATAATATTCGCAATATAGGTAAGTAAAGCCAACGTGGGGTCTCTCGTGACCCCGTGTCACCAGTTGCGTATTTTTTTTTGCTAATGTGTGTGGTATCTTTTTCTCAGAATAATGTCGAGTAAACCTAAAGTTCGGTATGGAGACTCGAATTTTGAAAATACACTACTAAGGTGGTCCGAGGAAATTGAAAATGAAGATGACGCAAATGAAGAGGGCCCCGGTCAACAAAGTGATTGCTTGGACGAAGAAAGAAACTTAGAAGATATCGTACAGAGTGAAGATACGGCTACTGACACAAGTTACTCTAGCGATGATGATGATGAGCTACCAGAAGAAACTACGGATTCAGAAAATAACCGAGCTTATTATGGGAAAAATAGATTCAAGTGGTCTCAATCTGAGCCTACGCGGAACAGAAGAACAGAAGCCCACAATATTGTTAGGTCTCTCCCAGGACTGAGGGGACCCATGAAAAATTTGAATAATGCACATCCATATAGTATTTGGAAGCATTTGTTTAATGATGAAATGATAAAGGAGATCGTAAATAGGACAAATGAAAAATTGAGCAGGGAACGGACAAAATACAAGAGAGAAAATAAACCTAAAATGAACGATATAGACACAGTTTATAGCTTAACTTAAAAGAATCAGTTCGCTCACTCGGACCAATTGGATGTTCTAAAATAACATCCACTCCAGGGATACAAATTCAGGATGCGCAGAAGACTGCTGTTTGAATATAGGCGGTTTTCATATATTGTATTAGGCATTCCAAACAAATGAACTGTCAGTGGGAAGATTTGATATATCCAAGGGTTGCGACATACAATGTTTTCTCTTTACAATACGTAAAATCATGAATAATGGATTACATTTAAATATTTTATGTCAAACACAATAAAAATAAAATACATTTTTTCATAAATTGGCAGGCTTTGTGGCTATTGTTTCGAATAAAAAAAAAACCTTCAAGATGCAAGACTATGTCTCTACCCCCTTAGATATACCAGACCTTCTCACTGACAGCTATTGTTTGACAGGTCGTTGGAATGCTTAATTTGTAATAGTAAGAGAGCCCACTGCAAATTACGACCGCCATCTGATAACAAAATGAAATATGCTCCAAAGACATTGTACTTTACTAAATTGCTCCTGTGGCAATCTGTAATCCAGAGCAAAGTGACAGCGATAATTGTGTTTTCTCTGAAAATTACAATCCTAATTTATTGTGAACCTAGCTTTTAAACCTGAATTATTAATATTTTTACCTAACTTTGGCAGAGATAGTCAATAATAATTATAAACTCTTGTTAGACAATTCTTTTAAACTATAATCGTAGTAGTTTTTTTGTCGTTTCTATGACAACCTCTAAAAAGGAATCACAATAGGCATACAAATAAATTCTTAAATCAGCAAAAATTGATTCATATTTTTAATGATTTTTACCTACTAATCGTGTGTAGATGTTTTTGTGCGATGCTAAGAGGAAGAAAATGTTTCCCGTTAACGATATATATTTGAATATGTTATTATCTGGAAAACTTTAAGGGCAAACAAAATTAGCGCTGTCATGCCTTATGTGATTTTTTTAATATAAAATATTTTTTTTTAAACACTTTGCTCAGGATTGGGATTATCACAGGTGCCATTCGGTAAAGTACAATGTTTTTACAAGCTTTTGGGGTATATTTTATTTCATTATCAGATGGCAGTAAAAATTTACAGTGGGCTCTTGGGCTATTATGATTTGATTCCGTATGCGCTAGGGATACAAATCCGAGTTGCGCAATGTATAAACTGGAACATTGAGATCAAAAGTGCCGACGCAGAGTGAGCGAACTGATTCTTTAGAGCTATAAACTGTAGATATAATTGAACTGAAAGCTTTCTTCGGCCTACTTTATTACTCCTGGGCCTTCAAATCAAATCACGAGCACTTAGATGCTATGTTTGCGACGGATAGAACTGGTCGCGACATATTCAGAAACACAATGTCGCTTAAAAGATTTTTGACCATTTTATCTCATTTGAGATTTGACAATGCTGATGACAGAATCATGAGAGTACTTGGAGACAAAGCTGCAGCGATATCCGGCCTATTTGACAAACTCGTTAGTAATTCACAGCAGTGTTACTGTGTAGGCCATTATGTGTGTATTGATGAGATGCTGGTAGGTTTCAGGGGCAAATGCCCCTTTTGTATGTATATGCCCAATAAACCGAATAAGTACGGGTTAAAAATTATGATCTTAGTTGACGCACGAACATCAATATTTGTATAATGCATACATATATACTGGAAAAAACAGTGATGGCCGCGGACTTCCTGATGCCGAGAGAAAATTAGCTGTGCCAACGCAATCAGTGTTGCGGTTATGCAAACCAATTAACGGAACTAATAGAAACATTACTGCCTATAATTGGTTTTCATCCTATGAATTGGTTCAGTATCTAAAAACACACAGTTTGACATACGTTGGGATAGTCAGAAAGAACAAGCGAATGATACCCCTAGAGTTTCAACCCAATTTAGCTAGAACAGAAAAGTCTGCTTTATATGGATTTACTGCTGATATGACCTTATTGTCGTACGTTCCAAAAAAATGGAAAGCAACTATCATGATATCGTCTATGCACCACATCATCAATACTGATCAAAAAATCCAAAAACCAGAGATTATAGCGTTCTATAATTTGACTAAGGGTGGGTTGATAGTCTAGACCAGCGCTGTTCCAACTACAGCACTAGTAGAAGGACAAGAAGGTGGCCAATGGTAGTGTTTCATACCATACTTGAGATCGCGAGTATAAACTCATATGTATTGTATGGTTGTTTTAAAAGTAATGACAGCATGTCTAGACTAAATTTTATAAAAAGGGTGTCGTTTCAATTGGTTGAAGAACATCTCAACAGAAGACTTCGAACCTTATGTCGTCCGCGAGAATTAAGACTCTCTGTTAGCAGAATATTACAGAAACCTCTAACTGAAATTAGAAACGTAGCTGAGGAAGTCAACAATAAAAGAAGACGTTGCGGAAAATGTCCTAGAGGAGCTGATAAAAAGACAAGTACATTGTGTAAATTATGTAATGTAGCAATATGTGCAAATTACACAGAAAAAATTTGCAAAGATTGCGTCAATAATTAGAATGTTCGTATGTTGTGATTTTTTCATTTAAATATTTTTTCTGCCATCTTTTTCTTACTTTTTATTTAGCGTCATTCTATAACAAATATCTTAACTATTTTCTAAATAACTTTTTTTTTAAAAAGATTACCAATTTTAAACAGGACCAAAGATTTAGTTTTCATTCCAAAATTAATTCTATTAAACAATGATACCAGTGAATATGGCAACGTTGCTGGTCTATGAAACCCGTGGTTAAAAGGGTAGCTACTGTTTAGTTAAATTTGTTAATTCCTGTGTCGAAAAATAGTTGTTTTTGAAGAGG